CTCACAAAAATGAACAATTAAAGCGTGCACGCACGCAGTCACACAGCTAAAATGACTGTAAGAGCTCTTCCTTTCTTATTTTTCCCTCTAAAATTTAAATGGCAGGCTTTTTTATTCAACTTCATTTAAAAGGCGAGTTGACACCATCGTTTGAGAAGTTACACCAGAAACTAGAAGTTACCTTAACACAGTCTTCCTTCCTCAGCCTCCGCCGCACCCCCATCCCATCCAACCAATCACCACATCTTCTCTATTCAACCTGGAAAATGTGTAAAATCTCTCCCCTTCCTTGCCCCAATCCAAGCCTCCCACCGCTCCTTACCTGTATTATTGCCATAAACATTACCTGTGTCCCCACCCCTAGTCTTGCTCTCCCTCCACACCCCCGCCAGCAGCCTCCCAGGCCTGCGCCTACACCTACAGAGTGCACAGAACGAGCTGTTGGGTGTGTGAAGAAAATCTCAGGACTTCTATTTAGTGCATCCTTTAAAATGGCAAATTTTCCATATTTTGTATAACATGCATAATGTTACTTAATGACAAACATGCCTGCATTGGCCTGCAGGTTTAAAATGTTTTATTGATGGCGGTACATGATTTAAAAAGTTTTGTGGTCACTACTCTACACATTGGTCATTTTAAAAATACAGATCCACCCGTGTTATTTCTCTTGCTTGCACTACTCAATGGCTTTCCATTGTCCACAAAGTCCCAAATCTGTGGCAGTTCCTACAAATCCTGAAGGATCCATCTACTTCTCTGGTCCCCCTACAACCTACTCCCTTTCCTGGGCGTCGGGCTCTGCCTCTGACTCTCCCCTCCTCCTTTGAAGTCATGTTTTCTTCCGTGGAAAATCTGCACGTGTGCAGTTCCTTCTGCCTCCACAAAGCTTTAGGTCTAGTTTTTAATGTTTTCTTCCCTGACACCAGCACACCGACGCACCATCCCACTCCAATCCAGAAGGTCCCTCGTTTAGACTCTCTCTTAGCGCCCTATTCTCGGTCACGGTACCTAGTACAATTGCTATGACGTGCAAGGAGTAGTTTGTTCAGTGTCTTCCACACTAAGCCCTAATCTCCATGAGAACTTGTTTTACCACTGTACCTTTAGCACTTAATGAGTACCAAGTGTGTTGAATGCAAGAGTGACTTTAAGTACCAACATTCACCCCCCCAGTTACCTCATAAGGGTTGGGGGTGCGGGAGGACCCTCAGGTTATCACCTCACAGAACCTCTGGCCTTCCTTGTGCTCGCCTGTCCTGCTCGAGCACCTTACCTTAAAGGCTCAGCCCCGATGACCCAGGGCTTTCGAGGGGCCCCCGGACAGTTCTGCTTTCACCCGGACCCCCGTGCCCTCTGAGGAACCTTATGACAGCACTTACGGACCGTGAGGATCTCCTGCCACTTCAGTGTGCGCATCAAGGTTTATCATCTTCAGGACTTGGACTTTGTTACTCATCTTTGGGAATGGTGTAAGGGAGGCATTTCGTAAGTGACTAGAGATCCGTCGTGTTCCAAGAATTTTTTTTGTAGAAAAAAAGTTTCAGCTTGCTTAATTTTCATAATTCTTAAATAGTTACACCTATCCTTTGAAGAAGGCCAGCACGCTGGGTGAGGGTCTTCACAAGCCGCACTGCCGTACGCTAAGTGCTTCCGTCCTACCCTTCTTGAGAACTGGCTTTGTCCCGGGGTGGAGGGACAGCAGGAACAGTCTGCCTCGCTCTCACTTCTCTTCTCCCTCTTAGAGAAACTATTTTCAAAGAGAGGGTGAGTAACTCAGGGGCTAGTGCAAGCCTGAAATAAAAAGCAAAGAGCAGAGGAAGTTGCTTTTGTCCACAGTCACACAAGGACATAAAAAAGGAAAGACGAGAAAGACATACCTGACGCTCTTTGTGGCAATTACACAAAATGGAAACATTAAGAGAATATTTTTTTTTTTAAGTTGCTTTCTTGGGACTCATGACAGGATAAATTTAAAACAGGGCAAGTGATTATTTTTTTGTTAGGCTACCAACCTCACATACATCCTTTATATTCATACCCCTTCCTCCCTGAATAACTTTGCCCCGAACTGTTTAGTTGACCTACATAGTATCTACCAAATTCTACAAATAGGAGATTCTTCATCTTAGCCCCTGAGCTGTTTAACTTTTAAGCTTGGATCCTAATAAGGGTTCGACTTGCTCACTTCAGCACCAAGAAGTGCTGTGGAACAGTTACCATACATGGGCAGAGAAGCTGCGAGAAGGGGTGGGGAGGGAGCCGCTGCTTCAGCACAGCAGTTATATAACAAGGGGAGTGCTGCAGAAGGACAGGATCTTTCTGCCTTCCTTAAAATATTAAATTCTAAAACTGTCTAAAAGATACCTAACAAGCACATGAGTTGCTGGAGTTAGTAGCTCAAATATAATTAGATCGAACTGATATTCTGGGTTTATGTGGCTATTTTAAGTAACTTTATATTGTTGGTGTCCTCAAGAAACAGTTCCAGAAATGTATGTGCAACAAGTTTCAGTAATAATAGAGTAAATGTCATTTCCTTTTTCACTGACCATGAGTTATGGATGTTGACCTACAGACGGTCTCCAAAAGAGCTGCATTCCAATAGTTCATTTCTAAGTCAGTTGTTAGGCACTTGGAACATAGTTTCCCATAGAAACAATTTTAGAGCAAGTGGTTCAGATTTCCAGATATGGCCAAAGAGGCCCACAAACACGAGTAATTTTACTAAAGACTCTGACCACCATATGTAACGGTGCTTTTCTGTAAGAAAATGTGTCCCCACTTCTAAGGTAGGATTCCTGTAACTCACCTTCTTTTGCCCTGAGAGGAGTGGACAATGTCCTGGATATAGATGCTGCTGGTTGAGAGGGCGTGGTGGCGAAGGGAGCGGGGGATACAGGGAAAAGTAGGCCCCTCCTGCAGCAGCAGCAGCAAGGACTCCGAGGTGAGAGTGAGGTGTGATGGCATCCAGGCCCTGCGAGGCAGAGAACCTGTGAAAGTGACTTCTGTCACTGTATTTGCATTGAGGGGAGTATTTTATATTCTCCTGGTGAGAACTTCCTAAATGTTCGGAATGATACAACTACCTTCTATTGAGCACATACCCTGAGCAAGAGCACAGTGTTAATTGCTATATTACTTCAATTCTCCCAACAAACTCAACATCTATGAGGCCAATTGTTTTATCTGCATTTAAGAAAGAGGGCATGAAGGGTTAGGGATATTAGTAGCTTGTCTAACTTCATGAAATTAGAGTCAGCACTTGAATCCAAGCTGGACTTGAGCTGGACCTGGAAGAAATGGGTTTAGGTAGAGGACATGTTTGATGAAAGGCTCAGATGAGTAAAATTTGCATGTTAATGATTCTCTAAGAGACAAGACTTGCCCAGCTGGGCGTGGCTCAGTGGTTGAGCATTGACCTAGGATCCAGGAGATGGAGGTTCCATTCCCGGTCAGGGCACATGCCCAGGTTGTGGGCTCAATCAATGCCTCTCTCATCATTGGTGTTTCTATCTCTCTCTCTCCCTCTCCTTTCCTCGCTCTGAAATCAATAAAGATATATTAAAAAAAAAAAAAAGGAACAAAGGAAAAATCCCTCCCTCTCACATAAGTTTCCTGTGCATTCTTCCAGTTTTTTTGTGTGTGCAAATACAAGCAATTATAAATGTATACACTCTTACTTCCCCCTTTATTAAAAAATAGCATATGGCAGTCAAAATTATGAATAGCAGTAACTTATATATATATATATGTATATATACATATTTATATATATATTTATATATATAAATACATATATACATATATATATACATATATATATACATATTTTTACTATTTAAAATAATGGTTTACTTATTAAAATATAATGATGCTTCCCAGCATGGATTTATTAAACAAATATCAAGAATTGGAATTCAAAATAGAAATTTCTAGAGAACTCACCCAGCATCAACTTTAAACCTATGGATTTAAACCCTAAAAAGTGTGGGTTTAGGTTGACGAAGTTCACACTCCTCTTCAGAGTTGCCATAACACCATGTGCACCCCTCTCCTTGGCTTTTTTCATAGCGCTGTAATTACCTGTTTGTGTGGCTGCCTCATTTACTTGATTGACATTCTTTGAGGCCAGGACTACAAAACTCATTTGTCTTTCTAATATAATGCCCAGCAAATATGAAATTATTTAATGATTTTTTGTGTGTGCGCAAATACAAGCAATTATAAATGTATACACTCTTACTTCCCCCTTTATTAAAAAATAGCATATGGTAGTCAAAATTATGAATAGCAATAACTTATATATATGCATATTTTTACTATTTAAGATAATTGTTTACAAATTTAAAAATAAAATTTTTTTAAACAGAGAAAATTGAGAAAAGGGTTGAGTAGAGGGGCCTGGGTGGCAAATGTTTGAAATACTGGTGGAGACTGAGAGGAAAAGCTGATTGAAAGTAACCGCTGCCTTATAGCCTTTCTGGAAAAAGGCCAATTACAACTTTAAGTAAAAGCCTTGATAAGCAATGCTGAGGATCTATTTGAGGCAAGAGATTATGAAGTTGTAATTCTTTTGTGTCAAATACTATGTGAGGTGCTCTAGGCCTACAGAGATGAAAAGTCAACATGCTCTCACAAAGAGCTTTTGTTTAGTAGGGACAAAGTCACCCGACCCTTCAAAATACATTTAGTGCCAATATTACCACCTTACTCTTAAAATGGTCTTATTACAACATTATAATATAATGCCCTGTCACTGGTTCTAAATGTTCTGTTCATATATGAGAAAAGGTAAGCAACTTCTTAGATACTTTCAGTTATGGTTATGCAAAATAATTTCTGATATCCAGGTACTCTATTCCCTGAAGCTGTGCTACATCAAATGTTGACACCATCCCCCCAAAAGAAGTTATCTTTCTGGATCCATTAAGGAAACTGTTGTTACTATTAAAAGTATATTTTTACCTGTTAAAAAACAAACAAACAGGCAGTTTCAATTCCTGTAGATACAAACTGACTTTATTAGGGTACTTCAGGGCAAAATATTTGTTCCAGTTGACCTAAGAATCAAACCAAATCTGCTCAGATGGAAACTTGCTCAGCAAGTTAAACTCAGTCAGGTGTGGGTCCCCAGAGCTCACATAACACAGAAAACACATGTAAGCAAGAAGTATGTTTACTTAAAGACGGTAACAACCACAACTGGGCAGAAAAAAAATCACACATCTGTTCAGTTGAAATGTGTAAAAAGTTCTCATAGTCACTTTTCAAAATGTTATGTGAAACACGATGCCTTCCAAGTGCAGGCGTGCAAATGAACTCAACCCTCTCTGCCACAGATCTGGTCTCCGGATTGGTAAGGTATATTTTAGAGACGTTTCCCAGAAAGCATTTGGACTTTAACTTTTAAAAGCCAATCTTTAACCTAACAATAACTGAGCAGTAATTACAATTTTTTTTATTAATAAATTCTAGCTAAATGGCAGTATTTTTTTATAAATCTGTTTTTGATAATAGATTCTCAGCTCATTTTATACAAATCTCTTTAATAAAAAATTAGTTAGGGTCCATTTCTGAAAATCCATGAAAAAAGCAATTTAAAAAGTCTTCAAAGCTATTACTCTTCCTCTGCTTTTCTATAAAATTCTGCTGTCATGTTTCTCATATTCTTTTAGCACATCAGTTCTTCATGAACAGGGATTCTTTTGGGAAAAGGGGGATGTCGAGGAATTCATCCTTATAAATCCCCCAAATGTGCAAATAGGTATGTTTGGAAATGTTCTTTGAAAATATTATCGGAAATAACATGAAAATGAAAACAAATCCATCATCTTAATATATCTTTATGAAAAAATAGTACATAGCAAGAAAACAATCTTTTTGAACAAAACAAACTTTTTGAACTGTTAAATAAAAAACAAAATGGTGTTGATCGTATGTACAAATGACCTAATATTTGTTTTGTTCTTGTTTGAAATTATAGCTGAGTATCTTTAGAAGGCAGATAATCCCAATGTTACATAAATTGGTTCAAAGAAAGGAAAACTTCCATATCTTCTTAAAGAGGAAAGCACAGTACTGACACCCAAATCTGTAAAGATAGCACATAAAGAAAAAATTATAGGTGAGCATCACTTATGAATACTGATGCAAAAATTATAAATAAAATGTCAGTAAATAGACTCTAACATCACATTAAGAAAATAACCCACCATGACTAAGTAGGTTTTATGCTAGAAATATAAGGATGGCTGAGTGTTAGGAAATATGACAAATCCAACCATTCCTTATACAAATACTTGAGAAAATCAGAGTAGATGACTACTTCCTTAACATTATAAATTGATAATATCTGATAAATTGAAACATATGATAAAAAGCCAGGACTTTACTTAATGCAGAAATACTAAAGGCATTCCCACTGAGGTCAGAAACAAGACATAGATGTTCTCTATTTCTACTACAATTTTATGAGTGGTATTAGCCAATGCAATTAGATAAAAAAACAATTATGAGCATAAGAGTTAGAAAAGAGAAATTTAAACTATGCCTATTTGAAGATGATAGGATACCTGAAAACCCTCAGAGAATTATAAGACAAACTAAAACAAAAAATAATTTAGCAAGGTAGCAGGATGTAAAATTAATATTCAAAACTGATAGCCTTCAGATACATAAATTATAACCAGTTAGAAAATAAAATGAGAGAAAAATACATTTATAATGACAACAAAAAAGATAAAATACTTAAGAATATACTTAAGAAATGTGAAGCTTATGTGAAACAAACTATAAAACCATTGGCAAAGCCCACAAGTGCGCTTGAGCAAGTGGAACGGCACCCCTTGATTCTGAATAGGCTCTTTTACCATCAAGCTATCAGTTCTCCTTGTGTTAGCTAAGAAATTTAATATAATGTCAATTTAAAAAATTGCACCAGGATTTTTTTTTTTTCTGGGATAAGAAAAGTTGAACTTAAAGTTTGACCTCAAGTCAGTCTGTCAAACTTGGAACAAAACTGGGACTTAAAGAAGAAAGCTATATGCTGGCATTGCTCTAAGAAATGAACCCATGACCACTGAGCCAGCCCTACTCACCTCCAGCTAATTTGCTGCACGTAGAATGGGGACTTTGGGTTGCTAAGTTATCGTTTCCAAAAGAAGCTGAAAATCTGAATTTGCGTGTGACATTTTACATGTGGATATGTTGCAACGAAATAAAAAATAAGATAGTTTAGGCAGAATGAAATATACCTTGCAGGTCCCATCTAGCTCACAGGCAGTGAGGTTTTGAAATTTTGGAGTCTCACAAACTTTTTCTGTAAAGGGTCAGATAGCAGTATTTTAGGCTTTGCAGGCCACATACAGCCTATGTTGCAATATTCCTGTCTATTTTTACATCACTTAAAAAAGTAAAAAGAGATTCTCAGCTCAAGGGCTGTGAGATCAGGCCTTGCATTTGGCTGCCAAGGTGGTAGCTTGACAGTCTTGGTAAATAGAAATTCGCCTTGAGATTCAACAAGCACTTCCAAAGACAGCTGTTACCTGACCTCTTTCTCTCACAAATCGTTTGTTTAAAAATCAATCTGGGGTAAGTATAATATATATCATTTCACTAGCAATTGGCCTTTTCATAACGCAGTAGGTTTTCCTCCTGTTCTATAGTCAGGAAGCATATCCTGAAAGGGAGTTTATGCATAATTTTAAGATACCTCCCAGTATGTGTAACTATTCTTACCAAATGTTGCCATATTAGCTGAAAACTGTTTTCTAAGTTACTCCAATCCTATTTTCAAAAGACCATCAGCTTTACAACTTAGACTTTTCTGCTCAAGATTAGGGTGGTTCTGGCTTCTTGGCTGCCAGATATACTCATTTCCTTTTCTAATCCTTTAAAGAGACTCCTGTTGGATAAAGTTAAGGATAATAGCATCTATTTCTGAGACAGGCCAAGAACTTTATAATCCCATTAGATTAATGATGTGGCAAAGAGCAGAGGGAAAAGTCATTCCAATTCATCCTTATGAATTACTTTGGTCCTGGCCCAACCTCGGAGGGGACATTTCAGTGATATGATCTGGCCATGAACAACTGTGAAACTAACTAGGAGACTAGAATAATTTAAAAACAGGACTGTGAGATTTTAAAATAACTACTGCCCAGTCGGGCGTGGCTCAGCAGGAATGGCTGGACCTATGATCCAGGAGATCGCTGTTTGATTCAGGTCAGGGCACATGCCCGGGGTTGCAGGCTTGATCCCCAACAGGGGGCGTGCAGGAGGCAGCCAATCGATGACTCTCATCATTGATGTTTCTAACTCTCTCTCCCTCTCCCTTCCACTCTCTGAAATCAATAAAAACATATTAAAAAACACACACACACACAAAAAACTACATGTGAAGGTTGATAAGGTGGATATCAGCTCTCAAATAGCTTTTAAACTTCACAACTCATTGAAAAGATATGACGAGTACCAATTATAACATTATTTAGTGAATCAAATTTGATCCTGGATCACTAGTAATTTGACTCTAGGTCTACCCAAGTTGTACTCAATCTTCAGATCAGTAACAAAACCAACCTAGGACTAAGGATTATCTAGTGCTTGGCTGAACTAATAGCCCTAGGTTTCTTGACCAGTATCTCTAGTTTCAGGGAAGAGCAAATTCAAAAGCAACCTTTAAAGATTAAGAACAGTGATGTGCTGGAGTAGGCAAGCCAACTAACTGTTAAATATTAAATTACATGAACTAAGGTGAACTGTATCAAAAACAATGGTACTAAAACTAAAAATTGATCACTCTATTTTACATTTTACCATTACCTTTGCTCTTGAGATTGTTTACATCTATTATATCTGTATGATAGAAAAATACATATAATGGTGTGCTAATGAGCATCTTTTGCCCACTCTGCCTTGTCATCACGTTGATAATCAGAAATTAGCTATGCTGGGAGTATTTACACCACATAATTAGGCAAATACTACCATAAACAAGGCCCTGTCCCCAGTTTTTAAGGAGTCAGTTTAGTTAAACATTTTCCAGAATACTACTGGCTGAAGAGGGTACCAAAGTCTCTGGTTAGCTCATGCACAGACCTCATCTCAATCATTCTCATGCTAGCCCCATAAGATAGACTCAATTTAAAAAAAAAAAAGTTGCCTAAATATTTATAAAATAGAATCTTTTAGGAATCATCACAAGTGGTTTCCTTTTCCAACATACATACCTTCTCTTAAACAAGAAAGCATATTTTCTAATAAATAGCAAACTGGGTCTGAGAAACTTTGTAATTCTTACAATTAATGTTTTCCGGAAAGGTTTCTAATGAGTTATTTTTATTTTTTGTCTTTTGTGTCTTACATCAAATACTTTCTCCCTAAGGCAACATAAACTGGCCTCCAGAACAAAGAAAGATGGACCAATTGGCTCCCTCTCACCTCCAGGAAGTGATTAAGTAGGCCCTGAGCTACCCCATGAAATACAAAGGCCAGATTCACTAACAAATGGCTTGGATGCCATTTGGATCCTTTCAGACATATGGAGTATCTCATTTAAGTTACTTAAAAGAATATCACAATTGGACAGTGTGAGAAAAATTAAGGCATGTGTGTAAAGGGCCTGACACATGAGTTTCGATTTTTTTGTGTCTTGGAGTGTCTACAAATACTATAAATGCCTAAGCTGAACTGGAAAAAGATATATACACAGGATATATGCTATTTTTAACCTACTTTTTAGGTAGTTGGGGGGAAAAAATCACCAAACTCTAGTTGGTGATGTGCGGTATACCAGCACCACTATATCATCTCATAAAAAGTGCATCGATCAAGACAAAGGGCCAGGTGCTTGTTCTGTACAATGGAAAGGCACCAAAAATTCAAAAGAAAGTAGTTTTCATTTTGAGGAACTGTTACCTAACTCTAAATTTGAAGAACAACTTTCTGTATTTTTTTTCCTGTGGGAAATTTGCAAATATGATGCAGTATACTAAGAATTCATTACACTCATTTTCCCCTAAATTTTGAGAAATACTAGAGCAGCCATTAGGTTATTTCCAAGCATTTACGTGTGAGTGCATATGTATAATAGAGCCTTCAAAGGTACCTTTAGCTCCTAATAGTTAATATTTGAATGGAACTAAAAAATGTTATCAAGTCATGATGGCACTGACCTCTAAAAAATTATCTGTAAACCAAATGCAGGGAGGTGAGCACTGTGGGAATGTGGCTGCCATCCTGCTTTCCATCAAACAAAAAGTGTGAAAAACATTTACACCTTACGCTTTATTTAAAATTAATAAAATGATCATCACAATTATAGGTAAATGACAATTCTGTACAGTTGGTTGAATAATATAAAGAATTTACATATTTACAAGCACATAGATCCTTTACCAACATCGAACATTTTAGTCTATGTAGTCAAAGTCTTCTGGAATTCCAAAATTTTTATCAATTTTATTTTCTTCAAACCCAAATTTTCGTTTGGCCCAAGATTTTATCGCAAATATGTTATCTATAAAGAAAATAAGAAATATTTTTGAGAATTCAAAACACCATCATAAAACATTTCAAATATAACTATATACTTATATCCATTGCTTTTACTTGCAGAAGTTTCTGTATTTTCAAGAGTAATGGTATAATGGTGAATTAATTTCAGAAGAAAATATTTCATGAGTATTTTGAATTACCAGATCTCATATTGAAAAACCCAGTAAATTAAGTGCCACTGAAGAATAGCTGACTTAGGGAACAATCTAAAGACAGGGAACAGCTAGTGGTGCCTCTTCCACATCTCCACAGCAGAGGTCAGGACTCTTCACCTCGGAAATAGAGCTGCTCCTGTTCCCAAAGGGAACACATTCTCTCCAGACCCTCTTCCCTCCCCTGCCCCCGACAGAGAATGGCTCCCAGACAGACGGTCATGTGAGAGAGAGGGGTGAGGGAGAGGAATGAGGAGAGAAAGGGGTTCCCCTCTCTAAAGACTACGATAGGAACAGATGTATCCTGTGTCCTCAAGGGGGGAATTTAAAATGCATTTTACCACTGAAAAAGCGTTGTATCTACTTAGAGGAATTTATCCCA